AATCATCACCATTCTGTACGTGAATTCACGCCCACAATTATTAGCCAGAGGAAAGCTCAACAGATAATTGTATACGAGACACAATTTATCCATAATAAACCTGTCCCCGCCATTTTGAAGGGTGGGAACACAAAGAAATATAGCCTGTGTATTACTTGTAGTAAATGAGCCAAATGCAATCCTTCGACCCAGGGCGCTCCCCCTGAGATGCTCAACGCCGGTGACCGGATAGCAGGTAAGGCAGCGCTTGTCGCTCTTCAAATAAATTGAGCGCGTGCACCCTGCTGTCTGAAAGTGGCCGTCGGACCATCAGTGTGACGGCAATACCCCCCTTTATGATAGTGTAACTCCCAGGTTGCATTACAGTATATTTTACAAAGAATTAGAGAAAAATTCGGCATGGAGGCAAATTCAAGAAAGAATGCATGCACCCGTTTACTTAGCACGTCACGGCCACATTAGAAAAATATGTCCACGGAAACAGAGAATTGATGTTGGAAAATAATCTTTTGTAAATAGGACTATCGAGTCATGGAATAGCTTGCCTGCAGCACTAATGATACTTTTCCCAAAACATCAAGTCTTTTATGTTAAGATTAAATTCTAGTAATGGTGTTGTAAGCGATCAGATCAGTAGTTTCTGAAGGGCCTCTGTATTTAGTAGGCATGCCTTAAATAAAATAATATTGTACTATGTATAGTATGACACTTCCATCCATTCGTTACAGGACCTGAACCTGGCGCCCGACATATCCCGATCGAGCGATATCATTACATTACAAAACCAAATTGAAACTTCTGAAATCGTAATATTTATTGTTTCTTTTTTGGAAAGAACATTCGTGTCATCAGCAAACAACCGTTCTTCCGTTTTTAATAGACGAGGACTTATTGTTTACGTAAAACAGGTCTTCAGATCGAACGTTGCGGGACACCATATTTAATTGGTAAAAAATAGGAAAGATAAGTAAATAATGTTCTTTCGTTTCAGTACAGTATTTCTACTCTTTGAGATCGATGTTTAAGGTACGAGGTTATCCAATCTAGGGCGATACCACGAACTCCAGAAGAAGGTAGTTTTGATAGAAAGATGTTATGGTCAATAACAACTAAACCTTTTGAGAGATCTAAAAATATTCCAATGGGAGCTTCATTTTGGTCCATTGATGAAGCAACATCTTTAAGAAAAGAAAAAAATGGCAGTCTCCGTAGTTTTTAATTTCGTAAACCCGTGTTGTGAGTCTGAAAACGCTTAGTTTTACCTGAGAAAAGTTTCCATTCGCGTATAGAAAAAAAAGCTTCTCTAATATTTCAGAGAAACCTGACAAAAGAGAAATTGGTAGGTAATTTTGAATTTCATTTTTGTCTGTTATAAATTTTTTGCTGTTTTGAAAATATCTGGAAATATTCGTAAAAACACAAACCACCTTTATATACCCGAACCTTATTTGATTCTCTCGCTTTACTATACGATTCTGCAAGGTAAATATTAGAAAATTGGAGTGTGTTCAGATCATTATGAGACAACCAATGTTCTGTAAAGCAAGAAAATCTTTATTTGACCTAAATCACACTGTAATGCTGTCTCGATAAACTCAGTTTTATTTGAAAGAGATTGCACGTTATGATGCATTATTAAAATGTTTTACATATACCTATACGGATGCTTCTCTGCTGCATTTAACTGTAGTTGCTATTTATTTTTCTAATTGTTACCTCGAATGCGTGATCGAAGGATGTATCGTGCCCCAGCAGAATAAACCTCATTGCCGGGTTCTGGTAATGAAAAAGTGGATAAATCCTATTGCTAAATTTAGAAATCTCGTGGTGTAGCCAGAATCCATGATTTGTTGGATTGAAATTTGTGGTATGTAGTAGTATCATGTGGCGAAGCTTTTAGAAACAATGCGACAACGGTGCTTTGGCAGCATCGTTAGTTTAAACATTCTGTCATTGTTTAATTTTAGTAACAACGTTCACAGTCGCATTTCTGTGACATGTCAAGAACTTGACGTAGAACGCATCTATACTGTATGGAGTAATCCTCTGTTTAACTATACTAAACTAGTCCGTAAGTCGTGGTAGGTGTCGTAAAGAGGACCGCCAGATAGCATCTCTTGTGTGCTCTTGCGTCACTACCTAGCGGCTAGAATTGGGAAGCTATTATGAAAGGTGTTGTGTTTAGGACTCTTCACAGGGTTTGAACGATCCCCTGGGAAGCAGACACACTCGTTCTGTGGGACCATTTCACTTGGGTTGGAGGGCGGAGCATGCCAGAACGTTATTTGACCACTATTTCAGATGTCCCAGAATAATAAATAATATTAGTTTTGGCTATTTTATTTGGAAAAAAGAGCTCCACAAAGTGAATTCTGTAAATTCAACAAATTCCATTTTCATATCACAAAATCGAGCCGAATGATAAGAGAGATCGTTAAGCCATTCTAATTATTTCTTATAATAGTATGACAAAGGAATTTTGTAAAGTACTATGTATCTAAAATACGATGTGTTAAGATGAAAAATTGGCGATATTTACACAATTCAATTTTCTTTTTGAAATCATTTCCAACTCAGAATGGATATTTTGAGTAATTCAAAAAACATTTTATTTAATGGAAGACAGAAATGTTTCTACCAGATAAATACACTTGATTGCCTTCGATACGCAGTTCGATGTCCACCGCAAGGCTTCCTTGGATGGAGAGGATCGTGTTGACGAGGGAAATATGAAAACAGTTGATTGATGCTACACGTTATGTTCTGGAGGGAATTATGCACCCTAGCGATTGCAATTTTACTATCGATAGTAACTATATATAGTTACAGTTTATATTTGTTCTTAATATGCTACAAATATGTCGAAATAGATTTACAATATAGAAAGTTAGAAAAGTAAATATAGTGCAATTTTCGTGTAAATAGTCCATATTTTTTCGCTCTCAACCAAAATAATTTAATAACGCAAATTTTAACAAACTCCTCTGATAAATAGCGTCGTATTCTGAACAAATAGCGTATCAGAAACACTATCAATTATTTCCAGCCTCCTATACGGAATTGAAACCTACAAGAAACAATAATGAGTGGGATGGGCCACTCACCCACACCCCCTGTCTCCTTCATACGTCACATACAGTTTTGATTGTTCTTTGACTAAATAATTAAAATCAAATTTATTTTCTTATGCATTTCAAGACTCCTTTACGAGAGACAAATTGTAAAAAAATGAATTGTACTTGAACTTGCAGAAGTAACGGAAAAAAGTTGATCGACGGGGAAGGACTGAATTTGAATTTGCTCCAGCTGCCTCTCCCACCGCAGTCCGCGCTGCGTCCGGGTCCTATGTAGTACATGTCGCTTCTTATAATGTTCTCTGCAATTTCAGTAGATTAATTTGTATGTTCCCTAGGATAATGAAAAAATATTAAAATTATCAAAAATTTAAATACACCAAAGTAATTTTTTTTAGAAATTAATATTACTATTCCTCTCTTAACTTCGTCTTCATATTGCTTCGCAGAACCTGCCATAATTTAAAAAATACTCAGTTCAGCCGGAAGTAATTAGGATTAGATCTAATTTTGTCCACACAAGAAGACTTAACGCTAAATAACCTGTATTACACAAAACCTCTTGCAATTGGGTGGGCTTGTCCCCGGCTTCACTGACACTTGTGGTATTCTCTGAAATGTGCAAAATCCTAGTTTAAAACGTTCTTATTACATCTCAATGAAAACTAATTTGAACAAATAATAAATACACATTAACTGGCAATCATTTTGTTTTTGAGCTAACCAGCATCAAATACACGAGAAACTATTGGACGCGATCACAACATGTTGATTGCTTATGTGATACTGTGGCTGTTTTCCACGTCCTACGAACTCGGTGAAACTTCCGCCCGAGACTCTGGTTTCATGCAGTGTGGCGTCGTTGGTGAGCGGGCCGGCCAAGCACACTCCATTGCCAGTGTAACCGGGCCCTTCCACGGGAAACCACTTTATCCAAGAAAAATTAACTAATAAACATGTAGTAAAATACAAATAGTCTTGTGCTAATCTTAGGTTGCCGGACAAAGTGCCGGCTTCATCCATAGGTTAAGTTAGAAATAAGTTAGTAAGGAAGCACTGCCCCCTTCTTCGCCGCAAAAGCCAAAGAGCTGCGGCGTATGTTGTACCCCAACAAGAAAATAACCTCCCGCCTCGCCAGGGCAACTGGCGGGGGGAAAGTTAAAAAAAATTAAAATAATAATAAAATCACGACTATTCTTATTACCTGTACTCCGGAAAATGTTCCATAATTTTATAAAACATTTGATTGTAAAATAAAATATAAAACATTCAGATATTCCTAATGATAGAGAACTAATAAAGTAAATGAAGAGATTATTCGGCAGCATATCAATATGTATTTGTGATGAACATATTACGTCAACATATGAACATATTAGCTTATTATCGATACACGTTATGACACACTGGTAGAGGAAGTATCATATTTAAAAACTGAAGGTGACAGTAACACTGTATATATATATATATATATATATAATAGAGTATATTGTAATTGTTAGTATACTATTAAGAATTATCTACTCTAATAGATAAGTACTATAAACTTGTATTTTATGTATAATTTTTATTTCTAAAACTTTGTGACCTAAAGCTTAAAAAAAATGTATCAATTACTAAGAATGCCTCTTGACACAATTTAACTACTTTAGATTGTGTACTTTATACTGTTGCATAACTTAATATGTTTGGCTGGGTCGAATTATTTTGATATGAATGATACAAGTCGCTAAACTGCAAAGTTTTGATGGGTTCTATAAAATAAAATGTAACGTGTTCTAATCGACCCTTAGAGGCAACCTAAATTTTCTTCGTGTTGGCCCGTCGCTCTCAGGGTTTCTCAGAAGCATACAAGATGTTAAAGCCGGCTGTCACACTCCCTGCTTAGATTCTTATCTAATATTGTTTCTGATTCTTGATACTGTAATGATTCTGTTATATAGTATACTTACACAGATGGAACAATATCGCACAGACCAGTTTTGAAAATGAAAAATTTGTGTATAATAAGAGCCATTCAACCAAATTCACTCATTCAGCACGAGAAAGAAGTATATAGTTAATACCGCTGTATACTAGCATTTATACACATTTGGAAACATACTAAATAAGAAAGTAAGTTAATGTATGGTAATACGCATTTGAGTAGAGCGCTGTCAGTGGAACAGATGCACTTGGATTCGACTATTTATTCTCACATTCATTTTGTATGCCTCGTTCCCCAGTGAAGCATCTGTTTCAGAAAAGAGGGGTCACACAGTCACGAATGTAAAGAAGCTCCAATGGCCGAGTGAGCGACGGCGTTGCCTACGTTCTGAGCCGTCCAACACGGATAATTTCAATTTGTAGTAGGCGGGAGCGTCCCCGTACCAAAGTACTTTGGGGGAGAAGTTGAATGGTTCGTGCAAATGCCTAGTTGCCGAGGCGCCGGTCTTGGTCACAGCAACGTCGAGGCTACGGAGCGTCCACTTTCCGGTCAAATCGTCGCGAACGCACGAGCCTGCAAGCCACCGCTTTGCGGCCACATGAACTGAGATAGGGTGCGAGGTGGCAGCTGACGAGAAGGGCGACGCGTGGGGCTGTCGCTGGGCCAACTGGTCGCGTGGGGTCAGGGTTGAGGGGTCTGCCCCTGGCCCCCGGGGGCCTTGTTGTTGCTGACGCTGAAGGCCGCCAGGAAGACGTTGATGATGGTGACGAGGAAGACGCCGCCCACCACGTAGTTGTTGAGGCGGTTGGCGTGCGCCATCTTGTGTTCGCCGCTGAGGTCGGCGCGGCCCTTAAAGATGAGCGTCACGCCCACGGCAATCTGCAGCACAGCGCGAAACCATCACGGATACATACGGGGAGAACATTTAAAGAGAACTTGAAAATCACGCGAAAAAAAATCTTTGAACAATTGAACATGATCTCATTTCAAGATTTATCTTGTAAAACATATTTTTAAGAAGTTATATGTCTTTAATATTGTAGTTGTGAGAACACTAAAAAATAATTTTTGTAGCTATCCGAGAACAAAGTGAAATTTTAAAAAATTGACTCATTTTTTACAAAATCTTGAAAATGTTGAGACTTCATAAAAAAATTAAAAACACTTCAAAAATCCATTTTTGACGTATTCAATTTTGGAGAAAATCGTCAGGTTTTTGGCAGTGGCGTCCACTATAGACAAACGTGTTGCTGTGAATCGTCCAGTTTATGATAGATTTTAGGAATTGCTTACTTTGTCTGATGAAGGGGACCAATGATGTAATCTCTCGAAATATTATCAAATAACTACCTCCAAAACTGACAATGATTTATAACTAAAATAATGCTATCCTGAAATATAGTGTTTTTTACAGTCAAGTCTGTCTTAAAACCTGTTGGCAATGTGATTGTGATAAACTATAAGAATTGACTACAGATAAAGCTTAAGGTGAGATGGCTCGGGTCTCAGAAGCTCACCTTTCACCGAGGAATCTCATGGGAATTTGTTCTGAGTTGAGACGCGTTTGCCTGCTTGAACAAGGGCTAGTTCACCCAATCCTACTTGCTTGCCAATTGTGGCTGCCACGTGGCCACCGAAGACACCCGAGTTCCCCACGAAGGGAGGCAGAGGCTCCGCGCAGCGCGCACCGCCGAAACGCCGTAAATGCACATTTCTAGCTATTTGTAACCACAATTGCATTTATTAAGTGTTAAAGTGCCTTAAAGGACAATTAAGTTTTCCCAAAACAATAGTTTTTCTGTGAAAAGCTCTTCAATTTTTCAGTTTTAGTAACGCTTAAACATTTTCTTAAAAACGGCTTCTAATTCCTTAATGAAATTTGTAATTTACATGGTTTTACACTTGTTTAATATTCTTAAAGCGATATTTCGGTTCTACTAACAGGAAACCGAAGAATTATGAATTTTTCAAAAACACTTTGGGCGGTGATAGATGGCAGCTGGCTAGAGATATCGCAAGTCCCACAATCTAGTCCAGACCAAAGAAAATAGAAAACTAATACGACACAATCTGTACCATTGTGAAGCACTACTAGTTATGTATTTATAATTCTTTACCTTTCTATCTCTATTTTTATTAATATGTACCAATGTGCCCTCGGGTTGCGTATGATTTTGCTCGTTATACACGCACCAAATATAACGAGTAAGACGGAAACGCAAGGCGCGGGTCGTGCCGCACGCGACCACGCGCATCCATCGGCGTAAGGACTGGGGCAGGTCTCTTCTGTATTCGGTGCCCTGGCGCTCCTCTTGACAGCGCCCACTACGACTAACCTTTGTATGAACAGTAACTACATAATAAGCCTTCAGGACCCCACAAGGGTTAGGAGACGCAACGAAAAATATTTAAATTTAGGGAAAAAAAATAACGATTTCAAAATATAATATTGCGTTTTCAAATTGATAGGAAAGCGCACATTCAAGCACATCTCATGGACGCTTCCGCTCTGCGCCTCAGCTCGCCAGCTCCGCTCAGCCCCCTCACGTCCTTCGCCCCTCCCGCTCTGACGCCGCTGCCCCGCACTGCTCCCGCTCAGCACCGGCTCTGCCTCGCTCTGCCCCGGCTCAGCGTCTCGCGTGCCCCCGCTCAGCTCCCTGCCACTGCCCCCGTCGCCGCTCTCTGCCCGTCGCTCTGCCGCCCGGCTCAGGCACCGCTCTGCGTAGTCCCGCCGCTCAGCGCTCGCGCGCGCTCAGGCCCTCGCTCAGCCTCGCCTCTGCCGCTCTCGCGTTTCGAGCCCCTCTTCGCGCTCAGTCCTCGCCCCGCTCTGCCCCCGGTCAGCCCCGCTGCGCTCCGACACCGCTCAGCCCCGTTCAGCCCCGCCAAGCTGTCCGCCGGCTTGCAGCCGTTAGTCCGCTCTGCCTCGCGTTCGTGGCTCAGCCTTCGAGTCCTTGCCCCGCGGTCAGCCCCCTCTGCCGTGCTGCCCCGCTCGCAGCCCCGCTCTGCCTCCGCAACCCGCTCTGCGCTCACGCTCTGCCCTCCGCTCAGTCACCCTGCTTGCCCTCCGGCTCGGCACCGCCTCTCCCCCGCTTTCGGGCACCTCTCCGCGGCTCAGCCCCGTTCTCGGTTGCGCCCGCTCAGGCCGCACTGCCCCGCTCAGCCGCGCTCTGCCCGTCTCTGCCCGCCGCGCAGCACAGCCCTCCGCCCTCCCCCTCTAATCTGCGGTGCGCAAGGGAAGGCAGGCCAAAGCTACAGATTTCTGAACCCGTTGCAACATTTGGAGCTGAAAAATGAGCTGTAGGGGAGATGTTATATAAACATTTTATATTACACAACTTCCGCGGCAATGGTCTACCCATTCGTTGAAAAAGTGAAATGCCTTAGTGGCTATCAAATTTTCCTCTTACATTGATGTGTGAAATATTGATGTTATAGGTTGACATTGTCTGAATGCGACTTTTTCAAACCTCGATTCTCACCCCAAGATCTGGTTTTCAAGCCGCACAAAACTGCCAAATTACTGAATTTAATTGGTGTATTTGCGAAAATTGTAACGAATAAGATTGCAAAACTACAATATTGATGATAGAGATGTTCGGTTTCTCGCCTTACTTGGAATGAAGAGAATGTATTGTTTTCAAGAGCGGAAATAGCGATTTTTAGACAGAAAATTTTAAAAAAATGGTGTTGGCAATATTTTTGGTGAAATCCCTATATTTTTAAAAATTGCAAAATATTAACTTTGCAAAAGTACAATATTGAAGAAGAGATTATATTCAATGAAAACTGTTCTAAAAATGATGTCTTTAAAAGGTCATTGAAAATGTTTGAAAAGACGAGAATGATTGCGTAATTTCTTCTCGAAATCTATGAAATTTATAAAAAACATTTCCTCGAAAACGGATAGAATTGTCTCTGAATTTACGAAAATTGCAAATGTTAAAGCAGGAGAGAATGTGATGTAAATGAAACAAAATGCAAGAAGAAGTCAACAGAAAGAAGAGTAACAAATATAGAAAGATACTTTAGTTACAGAGATGAAATAAAAAGATGAGAAGCGAGTTAACTGGCAACAGTGACAAAAAGTCGCCAAAAATTTTGGACATTGCACAGGTTTCAGAATAAATGTTATCACATTTGAGGTCGCCTAGAGGGGTGGAAAATAATAACTTCTTATGAACACGGGGAACTCCTTACGTACAACTGTTCGACAGATCACGTTAAGGCGCAAAGGAGATTTCATGTACCTGCGCCTCCTTCCACACGACCTTCAAGTCTTGTAACATGTATTCCGAACCCCTGTGGATATACATTATCATTTATTCTTGCAAATGATAGTTCTTGTACCTTCTACGACCATTGGAGAGTACATCATTAATTTGTTTTAAATAAATAAGTTAACGAACATTGAAGATTGCGTGCGATTCTAAGATAATAATCCACGATCATTTTGGTTGTGTACAGAACGATTTGTTATGAATTCGAAGCAGTGATTGGCGGAAGGAACTTTGACATGAATCAAGGCTGTTGGGCAGAGGCCGCGCACGGGGGAGGAATCTGCTTCACTAACATATTTGCCCAAGTGAAAATGGTTTTGTCTTTTTTTTCTTTCCCTTTATTCTTTCTTGCTATAAGTTCATTAACTCGTTTAGCCGCTATTTTCAGTAATTATAATTAATTAGTTCAATAAATAAAATTATTTTTTTATTAAACGGCCGAACTCGAGGAAAACGTGCAATAATTTTCGAATGTACCTTCAAACGAGACCAATTGACACTCGACCCCTTCTTCGACTAACAAAAATACATTTGAATAATTGAAAAATTGTTGTGTAGCATCCGCTGTAGCGAGTGGAGAGTGGCGTTCGCACCTGCAGCATCAGCGAGACGGAGATGAGCGCCACGTTGAGGTGGTAGAAGGAGGACTCGCTGGCGAACTCGAAGAGGTAGCGCAGCTGGTTCGCGTTGGAGGTGATAAGCGCGATGTCCATCATGCCCTGAGCCACCGTCTTCTTCGCCGCGTACGTGTTGGCGGGCGTGGGCGCGTCCTTCACCTGCGCACGCGGGCAAACCGCCGTCACACTCACGAAAGGGGAAAGCACAATATACCAAAAGAACCAGGTAGAGGACATTGGGCAACTTTAGCTCCCGAGTAATACAAGGGTTACATACGTGGGTAAAAAACTACACCTATGATTTCATAGTCTTGTTAACAAAACATTAAACCACACCCCCGCCTCTACTCCTACTCAACTACTAGATTAGGTAGCTCAGGGCAACAACCGATGTTACTGCAGTGTCTCCTATCTGGAGGTCCTAGGTTTCGAGTCACGGAAGCGGCAGCATTTTCGACTCTGGCTGCACAGCTGCGTCGAGTCCAGCCGCTGACTGGAGGGAAGTGTAGCTCCCGTCGTTGCTCCTACCGATGCAGGTGAATGCTGCAGCAATGCGCGTTCCAGCTTTCCTTCCTCTTTCCCATCTTTCCATACACACAGTGACAAGCACTAGAGCGCATGTTTCTCCGCTGGGAGGGAGGCGACGCGTAGGCCGGTGCCGTCACCTGCGAGAAAACAAGAAAACAAGCCCTGCACTTCCGGTGGCGAAGCCCCCAGCGGTGGACGCGCCCGCCGACACTAATTGACCTCCTCGACCATTCGAGAGCGGCGCTAGGCGCAGCTATGTTCTATACGGGCTACGTGTTGCCCGTCTTCTAGGCCTCCCCCGCAGCGGAGAACTTCCTCTCGTCTGCTTTGCTGGTAACTTTGTTGTCCAATGCGTATTTATTTCAGCGCGGGCGGCATCGACGCCGACAATTTCCAAATATCCTTGTTTTGTCATCGTTTTGTCATTTTAACATCACGTTTGTTGACGACGAATTTTTCTAACATCGCTGTTTTATCATCCGTGTTTTTAAGTTGATAACGTTTTGTTCCGATGAAAAGAATAACAAATATCACATCACAGAAGATGCTTCCACGCTAGAGTTCTTCTTCTTCTTCTTCTTTTAGTTCCATACACTGATAAGTGCGTACGTTAGTCTTCAGAAGCTTCTAGCGCCTTCTTGTGCGACTTATCCTGAGCAAGTACCATTATTCCCCCTAGGTGCGCTACTGCGTCAATTTTGGACGTTTAATTTCCATACCCGATAGGGAAGGCCATGATACAATATCCTCAACATTTTCCAGGAATTCAATTCAAACCCCGATAGGTGCTCAATTGCTAGAGGATTTAATTTTGTCAGGATCGTCCGAGAGCGTTCTCTGGGCTGCAAAATGCTTCGCCTCGGAGCGGTTGGCGCTCACTGCGCCATCGACGCCTCGAGGCCTAGGGGGGGGGATCCGCCTGAGGGCGCGGAGGGGCAGTGCTGCTGCTGCTCAACGCTGCGACCGGCGCAGCCCCACTTCGCAACTTCCATTGCCATGCACAACAGCCAGCAAATCTGGTAATGTATTCATTGGCACAAGAAAGAGATCTGCAGTTAGAGTTGAAAATGGTGTTGAGCTACAGCAGTGTTAACGCAAATGAATCTAGCCAGCGTCGATGTTATCTCAGCTGTGACCAGAATCGGGAGATCCGGGTTTTATACCCGGCAGTGGCGAATTTTCCACTCCAGCTATGTAGCTCGCTCCAACTCAGGCGAGCGTGAAGGAGACTTCTAGTGGCCGACTGCTTCAATCGTAGTTTTGCGTGGTTTTTCTGAACAATACCAGGCGAATGCTGAAGCAGTACCATATCAAACGGGTCACGGAGGACGCGCGATCGTTCTCTTCCTTGTCCTGCCTTAACCCCTTCAGTGTCACTAACTCTTTTTTTAATTTGTTGGTGCTATATAGACGCAAAAACGTCTCCTAGCTCATTATGGAGCGTTGAGCGCACCGTGGAGAAATCCTCCGTTAATTAGCATCCAGCACCCTGTAGGGGCCGCCGCCAGTCGCAGTCAAGTGAGGGAATCGTCGGCAGGTAGCGCCTTCGCGCTCGCGCCCTGCGCCATCTTCCCGTCGGCCAGAATTGGGAAGGAAGAAGGATAGGGCGGTTGGGCTAGCGCTCCACGACGCACGTGTCGGGCGAGCAGCCGGGAGCTGGCAGCTGAAGCGGTCCCTCGCAGGGCAAACGGACGGCACCGGATCTCACCGTGAAGGGGAGGGATACCGCCACATTTCGAGATGAAAACATTCACTCCAATAACGGGATAAACGAGCAGAGCAACACGGCCGCATCCAACCGGATGTACTAACCCTGTCTGCGAGTGATGATGCGTCGATGAAAAAATAAATATAAAAAATAATACCAGAAAGGAGCCAAAACAAAAAAAAATACTAAGCATTGAGAAAAAATCATAATAATTTTGTTCAAGTTGGTCTGCAGTGGCCCCCTCGCTGCGAGCCGCTCGAGGACTACCTTGGCCTTCTTGGCGAGGTCGAGCGCGACGACGGGGTCCTCGCGCACAGTGCCTCCGCGGTGGCGCCCGGAGGGCGGCTTCTCCGCCTCGGCGTCGTCCGCGAACAGGATGACGGCGCTGCTGTCGGACGGCAGGAGGAGGCCGTCCCCCGCCCCGCCGTCGGCCGCGGCCGCGCCCTCGTCCGAGTGCAGCGACAGCATCTTCCGCGCCAACCACCACCTGCGGACACACACTTAGTAGTACTGACCACGCTACACGCCCTCCTCTGAGGCCCAGCCAGACTCTATTCTGGAGGGGGACGTGTGTGATTATGAGGCTCAGCTTTTCGTTCAGCTTTCAATCACATACTGTTAGGATAGGATGCTGAGACGATATGATCAATGGTTTCTACTTGTTCCTGGCAAACGGCATTTATCATCTTATGCAATTCTGAGAACCGCGTTAACATTATGTGTTCTCAACGCCTGATCTTGGCCAGCTACAACAGTTGCTTCTGATTCTGGCCACATCAACCTGCAACAACGTTTTATTGTTTTCATATTTCTCTCGTAATCACGATCTTCTCGATTCTGGTGAGGTTTGCAGCGAACATTGAGCTCCGTATCGAAGGCAATAACAAGCAATAACAAGTATCAGTCAAAATAAAGAAATATTAATTCAGCGATTCGTGTTCCTGTAATTTCTGCGATTTGTTTGATTCTTTGCCGATATCCGACCGCGGGGTCCTTAGTAAGGGTACAGGGAGGCAAGTGCAGTCCACCAGCCTAGTAACGCCCTGATCCTAAGGATCATCGAAGGATACAAAAGAGAGGCAAATTTGTAATTTATGTAATGTGCTTTTCCGTTTCGCAAGCAATCGCATCTTGATTCTACCTGTCCATTGCCGGTTCCCAGGGAGTGGAGACGCCCCTCGGCTGCGCCGTAGGCCGTCGGCAGGCGGGCAGCGCTGCCACGCGCACCCCAGTCGACCTACAATAGCACGTGCTTTCTCGCATTTGGAGTAACGGCTACGCCATATTATAATGCTGCACGAACCTCCCTGTTTGTATCCAGAAACATTTTTTCCGCACTTGGATTCGAGCTCAGGAACTCCTAGATTTAGCGTGCCACTCGCGTTCGTCCTAGCCCTCCCGCTTCACAGATTAACTCAACCTACCCGACGCTCATCACAAGTTCTCAATTCGAACATTTCGATATCTAATATTAAAGAACAGATTTAAGTAGGCAAAAACCCTACAATTAATATTGTGCTTTTCCAAGTCAATTTACAAAATACAGAGATTTCTCCCAAAACGGGACCTGTTCCAGTTTTAAGCGTTCGAGGAAAGAAGGAAAGAATTCCGAGGAAAGAATTTAAAGAAAGTTGGAACCATTTTTAAGATATTGATAAATTCTTAACTTTTTAATTTCTTTTTTTTAATTCTTAATTTTTATAGATATTTTCAATATTTTTGTTGTAGTAGGTTGTAGGTAGCCGACAAGGTGAACTTTTGCAATATTCAAATATTCACTGACAAAAGAGAAGATCGCCATTTTAAATACCCTAGGACAAAGTTTAATTAAACATTTTGGAGCCATTATTTAAAAAATTTTGAAAATATTGAGGCTTCAAGTACCTGGAAAAATTAAAATATCCGTTTAAAACTCGCAGGTCCTGATTTCGTTAAGGTCAATAAGAAAATATCAGTTTTTTGAGACACTTGTATGAACGATATAGTCGGTAACATTGACAACTGGTGAAAGGATGGGAAGGACACTCACGTTTTTCCGTCAATCGATTTTTTGGCGTCAATGAGCCCCAAAATGTTGATTTGGGCTACACCAACATTTAGAGAACTAATTCGCTACATGTAGAAATAAGATTTTCATGTGCCAGTTTTCCTCTCGAAAATTCGTATTTCATTCTTTGTGTGATCTATCTTTCAAATTTTGAGTCAAACACATATACAGTAATCACAACGCTCGTAAATTGGGGTAAATTGCCATCACTTGGAACGGGATTTCGTCTTGCCTCGAGTCTCGGAGCAAACGCTAAAGCGGGCGCTACTTTGCTTGTGGGCGGTCCATGACGGTTGCCTTTCAACGCACCTCATCAACTCATCTCGAGCCGCAAGGGCATGGGCCGCACATCGCGTTGGCTGCAGCGGTGCGCTCAGAGACGACTTTCATTTCAATTGCCTTCATTTTCACAAAAAAGAGAGTCAAATCTGTACGTGACGTATGGGGAACAAGTCTCTTCAGCTCCAGAGCCCCTCCCCCTGCCTTTTACTAGGCGTAGGTCAATGATTAATACAACTACAAACTAGTGGGGCTAACACAGCGTACTTTCTCGAACGTATTTTCAGGCAAAATTACGCGAAAAGAACTCAAATTTTTGAAAAAATATACATGACCTTGTTTCAAAATCTATCTTTGACGAACAGATTTCATCGAGGGGAAATTTTCTGTCTTTAATACTTAGATCAAGGAAGACTCCGGGAAAATTTGGACGTTCTACAATTTGCGAAAAATCAGGATCAACGAACAACAATAGACCAACAATAGACAACAACAGACCTGCACCATTCTCTTAAACGTCCTTCACACTATCCAACAACAAAATTTAATAAAAAGCGATGGAGCCATTGTCTTTCAAAAATTTGGAAAATTTCCCAGGGGCTTCATGTAAAGTACCCCAAAAAACATATCGGTTTTAAATTCAAAGGAATTGATTGAAGATCGATAGAAGAATTTTAATTTTTGAGAAAATTGGCAAACGGTTTAGCTGCTAGCGTTGTTCACCGACCGACAGAGACTTTACCGTCATTCGATTTGGGATGGATTGAAAACATGGATTCTGACTACACCACTCGTATTTCATTGAGTATTTTGTTTCATACATTTAGGAACTTGACTTATCCACTTTTTCCTAACCAGGGCCATGTAATAAGAGTTTTTCTCGCAGCATTACATAATTTTATCTCTACACCGTAGCGAGAACTTAAAGCCAGGTTAAGAACATTTGAAAATTTTAGCTTGCGAGAAGTAGAAAATTTATTTGCATCGGTAAAAAAATACTATACTCGTACGAAAAGTAGCAAAAGGAGAGTTGAAGCAAAAGAAAGGGCGACCTACCTGTCGAGCGGGGGCGGCGGCGGCGGTGCCGTGGGCTGCGCGCGCAGTGGCGAGCCGAGGGCCACCCACGGCGCTAAGTAGCTGCGCTGCGCTGCAGCCGGATTTGCGCGCTACGCCTTCCGCAAGGAAGCGGGCATCCGCCCCCGCCCCCGTACCCGCCCCGCCTCACACGCACGCCTGCCGTCGTTTCTTTGTTTTTCAGTCCTTCTGGTGAAGTGAAATTCGCAAAGAGGCGGCCGTTCACTGGCAGGCAGTCCAGTTTTGGACGCAGGTTCCTCTAAAAAGTTTTGAAGAGGATTCTTTTAGGCTTCAGGGTCTTTTCGGGGGGGGGGGGGAGAAAGAGCGCACGCACAATTCTTTCTGAAATCTCTAGCTTCATTAATTAAGAAATTGGGACAGTTCAAAAGAATTAAACTATCGTAATATTCAAAACGCCAAAGATTTTAATGAAAATAGAATTTATACAATTGAGCTTTACTTTTTCAAGCAAAAAATCAAAGCAAACATTTGAAGCCAATTTGAGAAAATCGTGATTACGTACGTGTTGTCCCAATTTCATTAAAACATTCATGAAAAGTACTCAAATTTGGAAAAAATGGAATTGGACTTGGAATATTTTAAAGATCCGATTTTGAAGGACAAAGTTCATTACTAAAACGAGTCTGCTACAACAGCTCACATGTTTTATTGGAAACGTTTAAGTAAAATCATAATATTAAAATTTCTGACATACTACACCCCTGGTACCATTGGGAAAGCTCCTAACAAAACGAAATGCGTGAGATGCGAACTAGTAATAACCTCCTATATGTTAATAAGCAGACATTGCAGACTTAAGCAGACTCGAGTTATTTAATAAGAAAAAAATAGAACCGTGTTTATGAAAATGTTCTTCGTGCATTTTTTATTGTCACACTCTCAACCGAAATTACGTGAAAATTACTCAAAAAAAACATTGTACATGGCATGAACAGCTCAAATTTCTATGAACAGATTTCATGAAAAATCATCAACTTAGATAATGTAATTGAAGGAGTAGACCGAGAGAATGTTTAATTAATGTAATTTTCGAAAAGTTTGACGTACTCCGTCTTGTCCCTCTCTCAATGACAATTTGACCTTCGCAATACCCTCTACTTGAGCAAACAAATCTAAAGAAAAAATGTTGGTATAATTTTTAAGAAAATTTGGAAAACGACGTGGGGGTTTCATGTAAAGCACCTTCACATACGAAAATATCCATTTCTAATTGGATGAACCGCGGCATCAGCCAGATGGATTGGGGAATATCAATTTTGGTATTCTGTGCTCAATGAAGGCGTTAATATGGTTCAGACATGCAAACGGTATGACAGACGGACGGCTTCGAGTAAATCCACCTTTGCGGTATCAAGGGCGAAGAATACGGAGATTCTAACTCATCTCATATTCCAGAAAGTAGTTTACTTCATGTAGTGCATGTAAAATGCACTTTTTAGCTATCACGCCGAAATATTCCTCTGGAAACGGTGTTTCGTTTATGCAAAAATTCATTAAAATTTTAAATAATAAAATGCGTTTTGTAGAAAAAGAATAATTGCTGTACATTATAACAAACAGAACACTATTGATAATCGTTTTCGACATGTATAAAAAGATTTAGCTTTGAACAAGACCTGTAATCATCTCATAATTGCACCAACATATTGTCAGAAAGGTTCTGTTATCTCATTCGTATTCATAATAGCGGGGGAATGGATACAAATATATAGCTAACAAAATTTACCCCTGGAATTGGGTTTATGGCATTTTAAGTCCATCGCGATGCAAGAGATTGTTTTCATTATGTACGTAGACCCATTTTTGTCACAAAACAGATTTCCGAGGAATCCGAGGTAAAGAAGGGGAGGCCTGGGATCCCCTGCCGCTCCGGCGAGCGCCGCCCCGCGCCCGAGTGCACGCCTGCCAGACGCAATGAACCAATCATAGCAGCGGTTCACAAAAAAAAGCATTCCAAAATATATAAATACTAGGAGGATCACATAATATTAAGAATGTAACAATGAGATGCCCATGCTTTGACATATTCAAAAAACGACGTTTCACATAAGTTTTACGCATCATCAGATGGGAACGAAATTTATTTACGTCTGGAATTGAAAACAAATTCGAAGTTATCGTTTAGTATTAAAAATAAAATTGCACCCTAATGAGATGAAATTACGGAATAAAACAATTTATAATTAGATGAGAAAGAACTTAGCAAAATATATTAAGATTAATCAAACAATTTTTTTAAAAATTATAAGGATAAAACCAAAATATACGAAAATAAGGAAAGCATTTGCATTGAAATATCTACATCGACGCTTCAACGAGAAGAGAGCAAGTATGATTAGAGATGGAGCATATGAACTTTATAATTTGAAAATGACAGTAATGAAATCAAGTAAACAACAGTAATAAACTCAGTAGGAAGGTACAAGAAACAGATTGCAAAAGACGTAAACTGATAACAATAATGGCAGACGGAACATAACACAAAGTATAGAAATGTTTTTTATGATACTATTCTTATTTTAGACAAGACAAGGTCTCAAACTTTTCTGGATAAATGGGATTCTAACATAGTATTAATGGCATGATGCATCTTCATACATCCCAAACGTCTTTATTGTCCAGTATCAAAAAAGATCGTATTAAAGTGTTAACAAATACCAGATTTATGGATCGATTTTAATTATCACCTCGTCCTTGGTGCCCAAGCATAGAAGCCGTAAGCACACCGTACTTACTTACATAACGAGTATCAATGAACATGCTTCTTAAATTATAATTTCATTCGTGAAATATCCTATTATATTATACTCGTACTTTAGAAATTCTCCGATACATCCCCTCA